TGGGCAAGTGGTCCTGGGTGGTGTAAGAAAGCAGGATGGCCACGCCTCGAGATGATAGCATTGCTCCTCCATGGCTTCTGCTCTAGGCTCCTGCCCTGGCGTCCCTCAATGACGGACTTATAAGCTGTAATGTGACACGAACTCGTTCCTAGCCAAGCTGCTTTTGGCCATGGTCTTTCACCACAGCAGTAGAAAGTCTAAGACAGTCAGTTGCATTACAAGGCACACACTGTCTGACCACGGCGCTGGTGCCCCACCCAGGTCCTTGCTGATTTCCTGCCTTCACTTCTGTAGACATTTCTGCCAGTGTCACTGATCTTGAGCTGCTCGGAGGAAGGGCCTGGGTGTCGGTGTTCCCTGGCAGCCCCCCTTAGCCAGGGGCAGGGTGGGGGAGGAGAGAACAGCTCAGCTCCAGGGCTTTGCTCCCTCACCCACCTCTGTCCTATTTCTACTGCCTCGTTTTTGTCCCCTGGAACATCCCTTCACATGACGCATGAAGCCTCATCACCAGATCTGCTACCGAGGGCACGGGCGCACTACTCATTCCATAAATACGTGATGGGCACAGAGGGAGAGACAGGGATGCCACAGAAATGGAGGTAGGTGTAACTGACCTGTGTCCAGCTGGGTCCCCCATCTCACATGGATAGGAAGTTGGAGAGCTCCAGGCCTGGCTGCTCCAGCTCCTCAGACAGGAGTTCATTCAATATGGCGTGGCTTGCCTGTAGGCTACATCACATCTGGATGGCACACTGAGGAAGAGGCCAGCCTTTCTGTGGCTTTCCCTTTAAATCTGAGATACTGTTCCTAGAAGTCCCTAACCCCCACCCCCCAGGACACCACCCTTTGCCTCACTGGCCTGAGAAAACCCCATATTCCCTCTTGAGCCACCTTTGGGGTGCTGGAAGGACCTTTGGGTCTGTGAAGTGTACCTGGGACATAGCCCCTGGCACTCTACTAGGGAGGGGGATGATGACTGCAGCCGATGGGGAGCTCTGTCCCCCTGTCTACCTTCTGCCTCATCCATTTCCTCTCTTCAGTCCTCTATGGCTACCCTGTCTGGTGTAACAAAAGGGCAGTGCCCTGTCTGTTCCACTCACTATGGGTGCCCTGGGGAAAACTATGCTCAGTAAAGATCCAATGAATAAGTAGATGGTGAGGGTGATGAATGCATGCACGAATCTGTGTAGGATGGCACAGTTGCACAAAAGGTTGGGGTGGGTCAGCCATCCTTTTAGTATCCTGTGAGGATAGCAGGGATGAGGGATCCTTCCTGTCCAGGGAACCCGAAGACGGTGAGGACAGCAGCTTGGGGCAGAAAACCTCAGCTCCTGTTTGGCTCTGATCCTAACCCAGCAACTTTAAGTTTTCCCTGCTCTCTGCATCTTCACTGTTTTCTCTGGACCCGGTCACCAGACAGTTTTGTGAGCACTAACTGTGTGAAGACACCGGGGCCGCATGTGATCAAAGGGCATGTATCCGGGAGATGCGAGGCTCCGCCTCTGGGTACAGAGCCCACATTCCATGCCGTTCTAAGAGTGTACAAGCCTAAACTGTGTAGAAAGAGTACAGAACATCCCAGGTGAAAAACGGGCAGGCTGGGAGGCCCCATATGGAAGCCAGGCTTGCCTGAGGAAAGCAAGCTTAGCATGGCTGGCCCTTGGGGATGGGGACACTGCCTGAGAGGAGAAAAAGTCCACCTGGGCCAGATGGAGGCAAGCTGCAAAGGCAATACACCTAGGGTGTTGCTGTATATGGTGACTGCCCTGCAACTAGATTTCAGGGGTCCGGATGGAGCAGCAGCCTGAGCAAGAGATACTATGCCACATCAGGCCAGATCAGGGTTGCTGCTACAGCTCAGATAGGACTGCAGCAGAAGCAGAGAAGTGGCCAGGTCTGAGAGATCAGTGACTGGGGACAGCTAGGCATTCTGCTATTGCTAGGACTCTATCCGGTCCTATGCCCTTACTGAGCAAATAGACCAGTTCTCCTCAACAAAGAGGATGTGTTCCAGTCTTTATTGAGGGAAGTCACTCTGGGCTCAGGGAATGGAGTAGGAATCAAGCATAATACAGTTAAGAAAGACCTTGCAATCAATCACGTTGGCTTAAATTAAGTGCAATGTCCAAGTGGGTTTTGCCTGGCAGTGTTCCACAGCAGAGGCCAAGGCAGATCACCACATCTAGGTGGTTACCATGTGAAGCTGAAAACGGCTTCATGATTTTGGGAAGAACAGACACTGCGAGTGGGTGTTGAGAGTTTGGGGTCTAAGTTCTGGACAAATATTGTTTAGAATAAACTGTAATGCCACAGTGGTTGTGTGGCCTGGGATTGCCTTTGTTGACCTCCGTGGACTATTTACCCTCCTGTTTTCCTACCTAGAAGAAGGTACTATCAACAGTTGCTCTGAGGGCTCCTGTGGGTTAAGATCGAAGTGTCTTATCAGCTTCAAAGCACAAGTGAATGCTGGGACTAACAGGAAAGTTCCTGTTAAGCAAAACGCCCCTCACTGGGTAATATTGTTGAATTAATATTTGTGTGGGGGTGTCATGCATAATAAAATCTTCATCTTTAAGGGGCATGTAGGAATAAACAACAAAATGTTAAAATGCTCAAATGAGTCAGAACAAGCAGCACTCCTTAGAGAGCCGGTGGCCTTCTGTAGGCTCCTCTCTTAGAGAGAGAGTGGTGGCCCTCTGTAGGCTCCTTTCTCTCTTAGAGAGAGAGTGGTGGCCCTCTGTAGGCTCCTTTCTCTCTTAGAGAGAGAGTGGTGGCCCTCTGTAGGCTTCTCTTAGAGAGAGAGTGGTGGCCCTCTGTAGGCTCATCTCTTAGGAGAGCAGTGGCCCTCTGTAGGCTCCTTTCTCTCTTAGAGAGAGAGAGTGGTGGCCCTCTGTAGGCTCCTTTCTCTCTTAGAGAGAGAGTGGTGGCCCTCTGTAGGCTTCTCTTAGAGAGAGAGTGGTGGCCCTCTGTAGGCTTCTCTTAGAGAGAGAGTGGTGCCCTCTGTAGGCTTCTCTTAGAGAGAGAGTGGTGGCCCTCTGTAGGCTCATCTCTTAGGAGAGCAGTGGCCCTCTGTAGGCTCCTCTCTTAGAGAGAGAGCAGTGGCCCTCTGTAGGCTCCTTTCTCTCTTAGGAGAGCAGTGGCCCTCTGTAGGTTCCTCTGGGCTGTTAGTTTTTATGTCAACTTGACACAAGCTAGGGTCACCTGGGAAGAGAGGACCTCAATTTAAAAGTCACCCCCATCACACTGGTCTGTAGGCAAGTCTGGGGAGCATTTTCTTGATTCATGATTGATGTGGGAGGGCCCCGTCGCTGTGAACAGGTGGTCCTGGGTTGTCTAAGAAAGGAGACCAAGGGGGCGGGAGAGCCTCAGCAGTTAAGAACACTGGCTGCTCCCTCTGAGGATTTAGAGAGAACCCACATGGTGGCTCACAACCCTCTGTGAGTTCGATTACAGGGGAGAATCTCACGCCTCCTCCTCGTGGCTTCTTTGGGCATTTGCATGCATGTGATGCACAGGCACCCATGTTGGCCAAACACCCACACACAGACACTAAATATCGGGAAATCATTTTTTAAAGCAACCAATAGGCAGAGCAAGCCGTGAGGGTTGGGCAGCACCCCCACCCACTTCTGCCTCGGTCCTGCCTTGACCTCACTCAATGACAGAGTGTGACCTGACAGCTGCAAGGTCAAACAAACCCTTTCCTTCCCAAGTTGCTCTGGTCATTGTGTTTATCAGAGCAATAGATACCTAACTAGGACACCTCCATATCGCCCTTTGGAATCTGAACTCAGTCTACAGTCTAAAGGAACGATGGCTAACCTGTGTCTCTGTGTGCATATGTTAATCCCACCAATCAAGAATGAAACTACTACCCCAATTTAAAGCCAAATTTGAAGCAAGCTTTAATTAAATACTGGCCAAGTGGATGGGCTCTGGCCAGGTCCATACCCAGGTTCCTGGGAAGTGGCCCCAAACCACCAGCTTAAAAGGAAAACCCATAATTTGCATTTCCCATCAGGTCCAATCGATGTAAAAATACATCCAGACATATCTCCAGCCTACATCCAATGAGGGGCAAACATATATCCTGACGTATTTCCTGCATGCGAACCTCCTGCCCACATGTGATTAAGCATATCCAGTGTCGATGGGTCAAACTAGTTTAGGGGAGTGAAAACATGTGATGTGACTTGCTACCTTCCATAACAACAGCCTCCAGCATTTCAGGAACTATCTGTCCTTGGGCAAGGGGCTTTCAGAGTAGAGGCATTTTTGTTTCATGGATCCCTTAGGCATAGTAATTAAAACTTAAAACATAACTTTGGCTCTTACACATACACATGTATGATTCATGTGTATGTGTTCATGTTAGGCTTATTCCTCAATTACTCTCAACTTTGTAGACAGGATTTCTCACCACCCCTGAAACCCACTAATTTTTGACGAGTGGCAGAGCAGGCGCCTCAGGGATCCTTCTGCCGCCGCCGCCTCCTCCTCCTCCTCCTCCTCCTCCTCCCCCTCCTTCTCCTCCTCCTCCTTCTCCTCCTCCTCCTCCTTCTCCTCCTCCTCCGTGCAAGGACTGCAGGTGCTTCTTCTCCTTCTGTCTTCTTCATAGGATCTGGGGATTCAACTCAAGCCCTCATACTCACTCGTGTGATATTTAACAGCTAGCTGAGGCATCTCCTCAGGCTTGCTGACGGTTAATCTTGTCTATCTCACTGGATAGAGAGATGTGCAGGGCACTACTGGGGCATGCCCACGCGTGTGTGAGGAGTTTTCAGAGTGATTAGAACATGAGGGGTCCTAACATGGCGGTGTTACTGAGAAGTGGCGGGGAGTAGGATAAGGGGCCTGGGTACAGGAAGCAGGTCATCGGGGAATCCTTCCTGAATGCCCTCTCTCCAGTTTCCGGTCCGCCACAATGCAACCTCTCTGCCTTACCACACCCCCTCACTGTGAAGTACCCACACCCCTGAAACCATGGTCCAAGAGAGATCTTTACACATTCAAAGTCTTTATTTTGGGTATTTTGTCACAGTGATAAGAAAAGGAATTACTAGCAAGGGTAAGGGCAAGGATAAAACCCAGTGATAGCATACACCATGGGCATGGGGCAGGAGACTGGCTAGAGAGAGACAGAGGGCCAGCTGGAGAAGAACCTCCTTTAGCAGGGGATGGCAGACAGAGACTAAACATACCCAGTTCCACAGCTTGCCCTATAGCTACATAGGAAGGTATCACATTGTGGCCAATCCCCTCCTTTGTTGCAAAGTCAGGAGAAGCTGGTCTTGGAAACTTCTTTTTTGGTGACGAGACAAGGGTACAGAGATGCTGGTTGCTCCCTGTGACTTTCCACATCAGGATATGATATCATGGCTGCTGCAGCACCTTTTTCCATGGTAGGTGGAAGGAAGGTCAGTGGGCGGGGGGCAGCCATTCAAGAGCACACGTGAGGCCCCTAGAACAGAAGCGATCTCATTTCTGACCACCAGGATCTCCCATGCACAGCGAGGAACAAAGTGGCCTCCGTGCTCCGTTTCCTTAGTCATACCGTCCTTCTCACCTTCTCGACTTCCACTCCGGTGGCAATGAGACATAACAGACAGTGGAAACAAGGTAGTGACGCCAAGAAGAGGACAGTGGCCTCATGGGAGAAGGGCGGGGTAGAAGTCCACTCCCCACTCTGTCTAGATGCCAGCTGATGGATTTTGGACGAATGTTTGGCTTTTGGAACAGTCATGCTCTGTCCTACCAGACCTCAGTACCTTTGATCTGCTCCGTGTACTCACCCTCAGCCTCTTTGTGTGGCGCGTCACCGCCAAAGACAGCTCCTCAGCGCACTGGGCATGGAGCTCAGGGTTGTGAGAGGCTAAGCACACGGAATTCAAGCACCTCCCTCTACACCTCCATCCCAGCTTGCCATGTAATTTCTGCTCAGCATGAACTTTCGGGAGTCCTCCCAGCTGTCATCGCTGTTCCAGGAGCTCTGGAGAAGAGGGAGGTATGACATCATCCAAGGGGCTTGGGGACAAACAGAAGGCTTCATGGGACTCTGCAGTGAAGCCCAGACCCCAGCATGTGCTTCTTGGAAGCTCTCACGCACCTCTCCAGGAGCACTCAGGGTCCAACTGCACAGGCCCACTTTGGTTAGCTTCGGACTCCTTGAGCATTTATTTCCAAGCAGCTCCTCCCATCACTCACTCTAGGAGTGATGTGTATAGAAATGTGAAGTCTGTACCCATGGATACTTGGTCCTGTTCTGTGTCTTTTCTGCAAGCCAGGAATCATGAAGTAAACAAAGGGACTGGGTATTTGCTGGGACACGGGTTCATCTTTTCCATTGAAGCTCCCTTTGGAGTCCTGGCCCTTTGCTGATGTGGGGATGTGTGGAGACCTGCAGTTTGGGGTATGTGCCACCAGGGTGACTTCCTCATTATCTCCTTCAATCACTCACCTGAGTGCACTGGCACTTCCCAGCCTGGCTGCGTGGAGATTACTCTAGAGCTCTTCCAGGGACAGACCTGTGCTCAGCGCTGTCCTCAGCTCACGGGCTGCCTGAGCATCTTAGGCACAGGCATGCTTCAAGCTCTGGGTGACCGCAGCATGCACACAACGGTGCATGCAGGGCTGGACTTTCTAGGGAGGAGCCTGGCCTCCAGAGTCACCAACTGCAAGGGCTTCCTCGGGAGTCACCAGAAGTCTTCCTGGGGCCCTAGCTTGGTGTGCCAATCAACTCACTGTCAACCAAGCAACATAAATTCAGTTATTACCCAGAAAACGTACCTTACCCCAGGTCTGAACTTCCCCCAAGGTGCAGACAGTCTAGGTGGAGAGCTTCGGAGAGCTCATGGACATTTAGACGTCCTGTGCCTTCAAAACAGCTCCCAAGTGCAAGCTGAGCCCTTCTGTTCGATGGCCACATCATCGACCCACTTGCTTCCCTAATTAGGAAGGCTATATCTTAATAAAAATTGTTTGCTTGATTAAGTGTCCAACATTTAATACTTGGAGTATAAGGAAACCAAGATCACTCATTTGATCCCGTATAAGGAAAATGATTGTTTAATGAAGGCTATGAACAATTTTTAAATCAGTTCTTTGGAGGTGAGCGATGGGCAAGCACAGCATTTATCCACTGCAGATCAGTCTTAGAGCACTAAAAACCTTCTTTCTGTGTGTAGTTACACACTAAGGAGAAATGTCACCATCGCTGACTCACACCTGACATCCACTATGGCCATCCTTGTGCTGCATTTCAGTTTTGGTCATTACATAGCCATTCTTCTGACAGGACTGTGGGTCTCAACCTGGTTCCTAAGAGCAGATCTTAGAACTCAAAACATTCTGGGCAGATGTGAAACGCCCGTCCAGAGATCCTGACTCAGCTGGCCTGAGGTGGGGCCTTGGTTCTAATGATTCTAATGTACAGGTGGGTGCAGGAACAACTTCCAATGACCACGGCTCCTCCATCTGGGATCTCCAGCACCTGCTCTGGAGCCAAGCACAAGACAGCCTCAGGAGTCCACTGTGAGTCATATGCAGAATACACCTGCAAAGTACCATCACACCATACCACCTCCTTCTGTTGAACTGCCCAGACTCTGCACAAAGCAGGGAGTCCTACACTGTCAATCCTATACAGCAGGGTTGCTGTGGTACTCAGTCACCAGGCTTCACTCGGGTCTGCCTCATCTTGTAAAGACATACACAGCACTTTAGTCAGTATGTTGAGAAGGCATAGTATGGGGGTTAGAAGTGTATGCCCATAGATCGTACCGTGATGCCACCTGACCACCACAGAGAACGCCGGTCAGAATAAACATCCATTTCTAACACGTGGGTCTCAGGGAAACATTTAAATAGCTCTTTGCACAAAAAGCAGAAACCCAGCAGTCCACGCCTTCCCTTTGACAGGGTCCCTCATTCACATACACCAGCTTCTTGAGGCTCTCCATGGTGCGGGCGCTGTTGCAGGCGAGTGGACACAATGCTGAACCTGAGCAGCATATCCTGGAGTCCATGGCACTTAGCAGTGCAAAAGATGCTGAGAAGCAGGTTAGCAACAGCATCTAACTCGGGCAGTAAAGATGCAGTACATAGAGCAAAGTCTGCTGAGGACCTGGGCGTGGAGTCCTGGTGGCAAGGGCTCCCTGAGGAGGTGCTGGGGAGTGGGTTTCCAAGGGTTCCAGACAGCAGATGTGCAGGGGCAGGGTAGTGAACGAGAAGCAGAGGCCAGTCCCCTCGCACCTGTGTACCCTGGCTGAGTGTGGAAGGTTACGGCCACAGTGGGAAATGCAGCCATCGGTTCACTTAAACCAAACTGCTACCACAGAAGGGTCCCCAGGAGAAAACTGATAGGGTGAACTTCCTTGTTGGAAGCCATCCATTGGGTTGTGTTTCACCTAATCCCATAAGTAAACAAAACAAAAACAAAATCTCCTATGTCAGTTTATGATGGGGCTCCATCCCAATAAAACAGGGTAGGTTAAGAATGTCCCATGAATGCCTTGAGTACACTCACCCTACAGGACTCCTGGCTCCTGTCTTACCTGTGCTCTGAGAACTGCATTGGCCTAACACTGGGGTAAGCAGTCCCACAAAAAGCCTACTTCTAGGAAAGTGTTGAGTATCTCATGGGACTTATTGAAAGCTTGTATCCAAAAGGCTCAGAACATTCGTGTGTCTTCATGGTTATGTGGCTGAACGCGCTGTGGACCACTGCTACTGCCCAGCATCATGAGGGAGGGCAGAACCGTCACTAACCCAAGAAAAGATTAAATTCAATGTACTTTCTACCCTGTGCTTCCCTTTCTCACCACTGTGAAGTCTGAAATCCCAAGTAAAGCCACCCCACATTGCAGGAGATACCAATACACAAATTCTCCTTCCTTCTTTAGTGGTAGGAGGAGACTGGGGTGTTGAGCCCAAACCTTCTCATCCTAGGTCTTCACTTTGACCCCCCCCCTTCAGATGTTACTTCTCAGACACCTTCTCCCAAGCCCATCACTTTATGCACCCCAGCCTCCTGTTGGGTTTTCTGGCTTACATTATGGGGCTCACACTGTACATCCGTCTGTTCTGAGCACACTGGAATGTCACCCTGCGGTCATAGGCTGCATTTGCATTGTTTTCTGCTGTGTTCACCATAGCCTAAGGCACATGGAAGGTGCTCATCCATTATTTGCTGAATGAAATGGTAATAAACATCATTTGGTTTTGTTGCATTCTTCTGGGCACTGAGGACTGAAGGGGTCCCCAGTGCTCTTGGGTTCCTGTTTCCAAGCACATTCATGTCCTTTCTAATCTTTCTGCCTTAATCACTTTAAATGGGCTGACAAGCACAATTGACCAATTAATAGCACTTCTGCTCTTGTTACATCATTTGTAATCCATGATGCTCTTTCTATTTGCAATGGCCTTTCAATTTTTCATGACTCAAAATGGAGGACATGCATAATGAATACAAATAGCAAATTGATTAAATGTAATGCATGTCCTGCTGCTTGCTGGGCTTATGCCTGTTATTAATGACAGAAATCCAACAAAGTCTCATGAAAACACAGATAACATACAACCTTAAATGCAAGATGTTGGAGCACTAGGGCCCTAAATTTTCCTAATTACTGAACAACAGTAGACATTAATTTCTCAGATGGCAACCTCTGTAAATAAGAACATTGCCTTGGCTTCTTTGTCTGAGTTCTTGTTGCTGAGCACAAGCTGCTATGCAGCCCACAGACTGTGTGTTTCAAAAACAAAATCAAGCCTCTCTTACATGAAGTAGAAAGGACCCCATTTGTATGGAATCAAATGCATTGTCTTCTATGAGGATTGCATTTTTTTCCAAAGCTAATCTGCTCTGATACAGACTCACATAGCTTCTGCTGGTATGCTGTGTGTTAGAGCATCCAAAGGTGATGACATGAAGCAAGGAAGGAGATACAGAAAGGACAGTGGCCTAGCTGGATGTGTCACTTGGGTCTTAGGGACAGACTGGTGTGCTGGAAGAGGCTGTAAGGAGCACCCTTATTTTCTTAAGGTAACTGAAGGCAAAACTTAATTTACCACCCATGGGAAATGTGGGAGGGCAAGGGCTTCCTTAGGCTGGAATGGTGGCTGGCTTACTCAGGTTGGTATTAGAAAACAGCAAAGCTATTGTCTCCTATGTCTATGAATAGAAGAGATGGCTCAGTATGGTTGCTCACACTTGCAATCCCAGAACTCGGCTGGCTTGAGGAAGGAGAAGGTCAATGATTTGAGGTTTGTCTGAGATATACAATGAGCTACAGACCAATTTTGGACTAGAGAGTGAGTCCCTGTCTCAAGAAATCAAATCAAACTAAACCAAACCAACCAACTACCAACCTGGCCAACATCTAGAAGAAGAGCAGTCACTGGGGGCCTGTCCATGCTCAGAAGAGACAGAGCAGTCACTGGGGGCCTGTCCATGCTCAGAAGAGACAGAGCAGTCACTGGGGGCCTGTCCATGCTCAGAAGCACACATTCAGTGTGCTTAGCACACTGCGTTGAGCTTCTAGCCTTTTCACCAATGAATACGAACTGGCTATCCTGCAATACAGGAGGACAATCAAGGAAGGGAACGAATGGCCATGGCCTGTTTCACTCCTCTAAAGACTACATTCTAACAGTCATGCATTCACCAGGAGCTTAGCTCAGAATGTTTACCTAGGTGTTTGCAAAATGTGTCTTGTCAACTCAGGGTGCACAGTGGTTTTGGCAAAACTAAATTTAGACTTCTGCTTTGGGATGTGTACAAACTGTCTTGGATTTGGAAGCCCCAAAAGAAATCTAGAACCAAGCACTTGAAGAGAGAGGTTGGCTGAGATGTGGAAGGCGCTGGGGGAACTGAGGAGAGAGATGGGAACAGGAAGTGGCCTGGCAGTAAAGGGAATCTCATTACATCAGCCATGCAGTGAAGGCTGCAGCTGGCTCTCATAGGAAAGGAACTCTGGGCAACTTCAAACTGCATGTCCCAGAATGCTGGCGCCCCCCAGCAAGGGAGCTGGGATTCATACTCGCCTCCCTGGCAGCGGCTGGTTAGGGCTGCCTGAAGAAGTGTGTTTCCTAGGGGCTCCTAACCACACTATGGACAAAGGGTTCTGGAAGCCTGTATGATAAAAATGCAGCGGATATGAGTGAGGTATCAACAGAGATGGCTCCCAAAGTCACCCAAGGCTGTGGAATCCCCTCTGCACATTGAGTCCACTGTATCTCACACTCCTGAAGCCTTCGCCGGGCTCGTGACAAATGTCTTATTGGTGTGTGTGGCTTATTTATTGAACATGCCACTGAATACAGTTTGAAGGGAGCTGAGACTATTCCTCGCTAAGTTTCCGCTCTTTGGAGACAGCAAGACAGATTTCTTGTGAAAATTTGGGAAGTATGCATGCTCTCCTCCCCCACTGTCATATGTCTGTGTGAGAGAATAAAGAACTCACGGTTAGATCTAAAAACAGAGCCAAATTAGGAAGAGAAATACATTTACAAACCATAGCATATGAGAAAGCAACACACTGACAGAGACAGGAAGAGAGGAGTGAGGATTTAATTTATTGTAATTAAAAACACACATGAGAACTCTGGTACCTCGAAGCATCCTCCCCAGGTGAAGCAGAGGTGCACATGTCTGAACAGGAGCATCCTTATGCCATGGCATCTGATTGTCAGGCAGGCCACATTCTATACTGGACTCCAACCTTTAAAGCCAAAGAATTCCTCAGCTTCTCCATCTCTTTTGACATTTCAGTTGTAGAAATACTTTCTTACTGCCTAAAATATAAAAATTCCACAAGTTGGAATTTATTTTGTATTGAGTATAGATTGTTTCTATATGCATGACGTCTCTTAACAAGCCTGTGGGGAGGTTTCAGTTCTCCTGTTTACAGGAGAGGAGGCTGGGGCAGAGAGAGGTTGAGTGTCTAGCCTGGTACCACTTGAGAAGTAGAGCTGGGACTTGAGCCCAGGTGACCAGAACCCACCAGCTTGTCCTGCATGGCCTGGTCCCAGAAGTCTGGCTGGAGGAAGTGAAGAAAGGACAAATACACAGACACAAAGAAGCTGGGATCGGGTGGGCCACACTATGCTGGAGCAGCACCAATTGCACTGTAGCCGGCAGCCTCCCTGCATTGCTCTATCCAGCACAGGGGGGAGTTAGCCAGTCTCAGCTGGAGGTCTTCAGAGGTGACCAGTCTCAGGCTGTGGTCACTGGGGTGGAGGAAGCTGTGGTTGTTGGCTTAAACACACACTGCCAGCATTGGAACTCAGACCAGAAGAAGGCTTTCTCTGAGCCTCACCACAGGAAACAACAGCCAGGGTCTGAGGCGGGAGGCCCTTGCCATGGCTGTGCTCATGCCAACAGCACACATTCATTCAGGCTTCCTCAGCTCCCCATACCACCTTATATTTCTGTACTACCTTTCTTCCACGATGCTTTCTTGATAACCAAATGGTTTTTAAAAACATAAAATCTTTCATAATTGGTTGGGTATGTCTTAATTGGTATGGCTCATACCAGGACAACAAAGGAACAACATCTGAAAACAAGAGCCTATTCAAGTGGCAAAGACACTAACTTCCCCAGGCATTTCCAGTCTGAGGCAGCAAGGCTGTGGAATTCTTATCTCACACCCATTTTAAAGGCACCTATTCTCTTAATCTGGGGAAAGTCACTGTGGATCCAGGAGACTGAATTCGCTGGACTCTGGGTCACTAAGCAAGCCTGCTGGACTCCACACTGAGTAGTGTATATCATGGGAATGGCGGCTGCCTCCTTGTTGGCTTGCACTGGCATTTACTAAATAAAATAATGCAGATGATTGTAGATGGAAGTACTGCTTAGAAAGCACTCACACAACTGCTTACATTCACATTTACTATAGTGTGATCCTGAGCCTAAAAAAGAACTGACATTTTACCGTGAGCGAGCTTATCAACTCAGACTGGAGAAGCTGCTCATTCTCCTAACCATCTCCCCAGGAGGGACGGGAAGGAAGGCCAGGCCCACGGTGCTAAAAGCCTATGGTTTGCTTTTCCATGGTATTTCCACTACCACCTAAGTGTGGATTTGACAGGGCACATATGCACAGACGTGCTCTTTGCTAAATTTAAAAGAGACATTCTTTCCCTGCTTCTCTCCCTCCGCCAAGGACTTAGAAGAGATAAAGCCCAAAGCGCCAGAAAACCCACCGCTACACACAGACAGAAGACCCTCAGTGTTGGCAGAGGGCTGGTGTGGCTGCCAGGTGGCATGGCAGGGTTCAGGAGCAGCTTACCCACGCCCGCCATACTCTGGAGGGAACTGGCAACTCAAAAGCAAGCATTCCAGAACCCCGCCAGCTAGTCTCAGCGTGCTTTCCCCACATGTTCAGTAATAGCAGAAGCGTTAGCAGTTTCAGGCCCCAATCAGTCAGGGAGACTCATTTAGACACTGTGACCGGTCACAATGTGCCTTGATTTAATCTTCATTCTCACAACAAGTCGTTCTCATTACTCAGCTGCTGTTTGGTGGTGTGGCCTGCACAACTGAAACCTTCTCTTCAGACACCCACAGAGCCACTGCCATGGACACCTGCAGGGCCCTGATTCTCCACAGTGGGAGCTGGGGTATGTGTGTGTCTCAGATGCCCTTTTGGCAGTTGCCACATCTCCTGATGTGGCCCAGGACTGGTCCAGATTGAGAGTAAGTCTAATGGTAACAATGAGATCTGGATTTAGACTCATGTGCCTCATCTCCCTGTGAATCTGACAAACCCCCAGCTAGAAACAGACATAAGATTAGGATGTGCAAAAAGTCTCCCAAGAACAGCATCATCTAGCTCAAGATATTGCTGTGATAAAGTACCATGACAAAGCATCTCGGGGAAGAATTACATGTCCCAATTTCAGTCCATCATAAGGCAAAGGCAGAGCAAAAATGGCTGGCAGGAACCTTGAGGCAGGAACCAAAGCAGAGAACATGGAGAAACACCGCTTACTGGCTAGCTTGCCATGACTTGCTCAGCCTGCTTTCCTATACAATTGGTACCACCTGCCCAGGGGTGGCATACAGTGAGCTGGGCCCTCCCACATCAGCCATCAATCAATAAAATGCACCAAAGGCTTGTCCACAGGCCAATTTGTTGGGGATACTTTCTCAACTGAGGTTCCCTCTTCCCAGATGACTCTAACTTGTGTCAAGTTGACATAAAACTAGCCGGCACAATGACTAAATTAAAAAATAAGTCAACATAAATTTCAAAAGCCCATTAGCCAAGTCTTCTGTTTACAAAACACAGTCAGCCATGCACTGCTGATTAAACTATTTCCATGGCTTATGCTCTTAATAGCTGAGCCATGAAATGTGAGCATGACAACAACCAGGCAGATGATGCCAAATGGAAAAATGTCCAAACACTAGTAATAAAGCAGACAGACTGAAAAATAGAAAAGCAATGGTAGATCAAGTTTGCCTCTAATGATTTGAGAATATTCTATCTGCTGCAGACGGCTGTGAAACTGGAATACTATACAAAATAGGGGTGTCAGGATGGAAAGGATTCAATGAGCTGTACGAATAGTGTAAAAGTATCCCAGGAAATGTCCCAGCATAAGATGACTGTTCCGAAGCAAGCGCTCTAGCAGCCCCTTGGCAGTGGGAAGAGTGCAGTTTGGAGGCCGAATTTAAAGCTGAACGGAAGAAAACTGTAGGATTTGACTAAAAGTGAGACCCTAGTGCAGAGGCAGACATTTGCTGACCCATGAGACCAGCATGGAGGTGGTGCCACTGCTGCACGGGGGACAGGAAGGCGTTGTTTCCTTCACCACTCAATGGTGTCTAACAACACAGCGTACTAACCATACAGTGACACATGACTATAGAAGGGGGCTTTTCCTCCTTGGAAAGTGCAGACTGAATGAAACGCTGAAAGACGAGCAAGCCTTATTTTTATTTGCCTGACCGCACCCCGAGCTCACATCAGCACTTACAGTACTCAGCCAAGGAGGGGGTCAGCTGCAGCATGCCAGAACAGCCAGTTCTACCATCTTAACCACCCGAGGAGACAGGATTATGACAGCGCTCCACAACAGGGCAGCTAGGTTTGGTGAGCTCGGGCTGCTTGCCCAAGAGCACACAGCTAGCAGGAGCAGGGCTGCACTCTCGGCACGCAGGCTCCATGGCACCCGAATTCACAGTGATGTAGCCTTCCTAAGCCAGGGCTGGGGCATATTTTGACTTTCTGATTTCTCAGCTTCTGAATCTTTGAAAGATTAAGTCAACACATGATTCGATTCTACATGCTTTGGGAAAGGAAAAGTAGTGAAGAAACTCAACCTTAAAATGTATCCATTTTCTTTATAATTATACATTGGACCTTAGGGTCTGTACGAGAACTAAATTCCACGAAAATGAAACAAAAGGATAGATGGCTGGAAAGACATTTTTCCTATCCTTCCACAATCATTTTCCCATGAGATCACATTAGAAAACAACTAGGACAAATCACCAAGGGTAAATTCCTGCAAGTGACTTTTAGACAGATTCTAACAGAACAGGGCGTGACAGCATTCTTGTGAAGAGTTCCCTGCTGCAAAGGCAGGGTAGGCGCTAATGTTAGCAGCTCCCGAAGAGCTGCAGCCTGAAAGATGTTCTGTAGGGTGAACTGCCCTTCCCTGCAGATCTCAGGAAACACACATTCACCTGTAGTCTCCATTACCAATAAGGCAGCGCCACTCACTCATTCACTCAACAAACATCTACTGAGCTCCGATCCAGCACGCCAATGATCCCCACATTAGCTAAATGTGGTTTCTACTCCTCAAGAACTCCACTTAGAAAATATGTTTAGATAAATACAGTGGTGAGCTGAGAATTAACAGTGTTTCCATAAGCAGTGGTGTCTTCAAAAACAAAACAAAACAAAGCAAAATGAAACATGGACGACAGTCTTCAGTACCCACTGAAGCAATTACTGCGCAAAGTGAGGAGGGAGAAGGGTGGATGCACACGGGTGCATGCTCAGAATGTTCACGCACACGCACGCATGCACACACACGCACGCACGCACACACAAGCACACGCGCACACACACATGCACACACATAACATCTAATTTTTTAAAAATTACACTGGAGATTACAGAAGGAAACATCAGTGAACTCGCTTCTGGTTACAGAAAGATAAGGGGAGGTAGATTTTATAAATCAGAAAGCAGCATGTGCTGTGAGGTAACTCCTTGAGGTTAAAAAATAATGGCCCCAAATTCCAATTGTGACCAAATAATAAAACCACAGATTCATGAAGCACAAGAGACAGGAAGTAAGTCCCAGCAAGGTATGATGTCACCAGTTTGCCTACAGGCAGTGAGAGAGTCAATCTTTAAGTTAAAAGAAATGTAGTTTTTGAGGCAGAAAAACCACCTGTGAGAAAACAGCGGGGTGGTGAGGGGGCTTCTCCTGGCTTCTAGCACATCAATAGACACCAAGTAGCAAAAACTTAATGAAAGAGGTTATTTTAAAAAACACCCAAAAAGTTAGGTATGAAATTTTACATGTCATTGTGAAATTTCTGAGCCACAGAAATACACAGAGGATCCTCAAAGTCCCCCCAAGAACAAACAGATGACTTACAAAGGGTTGAGAACACTGTATAAGTTCCCATCTGACACGAGAAAATGTTGCTAGACATTTAAATGTAGAAAACCATCAATAAAAAATAAGCATTTTGTTTAGATATGTACAGCTAAAAACCAGAAGGTCTACACATAGAATGGGTTAAAACTGCCTGCCTTTGC